AGCGACTGGACTCTTGCCCAACTGCATGCACTTTGCTTGCTGTTTTCTTGTCTGCTGCTACCGGAGTAGCCTTCACGGCAGAAGCTGACGCGTCATCCTCAACTCGGATGTGTTCATTGATGCGCTGCATGAGTTGGCCCATGGAGGTCGGCTGGTGCATGGTAAGCGAGTCCCGTAGTCTATGTCCGACCGGGAGACCTCGCTTGTACTGTGTGATTGCAAGGTTGACCGGGCAGTCCAAGATTTCGTTGAAAGTTTCCCAGTACCTTGAGTTGTATGCCTTCAGTGTGTCACACAGTTCCATCTTGACACTTAGCAAGTGATCGACTTCCTTTGGTGTCTTCGTGTTGGTTTTGAAGCGTGTAACAAACCCCTCGGCCAACTGATGCCACCTTTGTATGCTCCCTTCCGGCAACCGCTCGAACCACTTTAAGCCCAGCTCACCCAAACTTGACGGGAAGATTAGGCACATAAGTCCGTCATTTCGCCTATGTCCGGCCATAACCTGTCGAAAGTGACTCACATGCATGTAAGGATCGGTTTTCCCGTCGTAAAGTGTGAACTTAGGCTGGTGGAAGCCTGCCGGAAGCGGTGTTGTTTCTATATCCAGGGAAAATGGGGTGGTGCTCAGCCTGGCCAAGTCCGTATCCTCAAAGAGCGGCACTGCTTGGCGGGGTGGAGGCATTCCGACCTCCTCACTGGCGTGTACCCCATAAGATAACCGCTGGAGCGCGGTATTCTTTGTGATTCGCGTCGGCGGGCCCGCTCCTTTAAGACCGCCCGTAAATCTTCTGACTGAGCAGAGTAAGAGTACCTCGACGTCGTCTCCAGACGTGAGGGTTTGTAGGTGCTGTCTTGCGCGCTAGACTTCCCTGCACCCACGTCGGAATTACCAACCTGGTAACTTCTAGTAATGGATATTGACTGAGTACGTCGCTGACTCTGACCGCCTGAACGGTGGGATGGGGTGCGCTCACTGTGGTCTCCCACTCCAACTACACCCTTCCCTTTGACATGGCGCTTGAGATCTTCCATCTCTGCCGCCATTCGTCGGATGACAGCATCTTGATCTCTCAACTTGCTTTCCAGTCGCCTGGCGTGCGAATCTCTCCTCCGCCGGTGACCGTTTGGACTCCTTGAATGTCCGTGACTTCGTCCGCGCTTGTCCCGCGCGTCTCCAGACTGTCCGCCAGTGGGCGTTCCCAAGTCAGCCATTGGGTGGACAGCAGAAGGTCCCTCTCTCCTTCGGGTATACTCCGGGGTGGCTCCGTCGATGGCGGACAACGGAAACTCGTCGTTGTTCGCCATGGATGGCGATCAGATGAACCTGGAAGACAAGGTTTTGTCTGTCAAGCTTCCCACAGACGGCGCCAATTGTACGGGGAGCAAATATTCCGGCAAGCCCGCACTCTTTTCTTCCGAGCTCCGTCGATGTCCGATCACCTGCAAGCAAGCAACGGTGAGCTACTCGGCGGTATGTGGCCGGAAAAACCCTCCGACGGTCAAGTTAGCACACACCTTAGGATGAATAGAGAGAAAGGAGAGAGTGTTTGAGTGTAAGAATTTCTTACAGAGATGTTCGTGTGTCGCGTATGGGGGGCTCAGACGTGCTTATATACCTTCTGAGCCCCATATCCACTCCCAGTCATCTCCTGACACGTGGCTCTGCTATCCCATCTGTCAGCATAGATCTTGTTGAACATCACCTAATCTCAACTGCCTGACTTCACAGCTGGAGCTCGGCAGCCGGGCTGCTTTACCACGGCCATGCCATGCCTCATACCCCAGCATTTCCCTGGCAAAGTCCAAGGGGGGACCGGGCTAGGCGGCATCTCGGCAAAGCCTAGCCCGAAGCACCCCGTGGTCAGCTTTCATGCCGGTCAAACGGTAACCTCGGCCGACCGCGCCTTTCCGGGCGCCGGTCACTCGGCTTGTCTGGCTTCGGCTAACCTCGGACCGAGCATCCTGGTCCGACCGAGCACTGCCTTACCGAGCTGCTCCTTTACGGTCTGGGGCGGGACGCACTCGGCCCAAGTTCTGCCTGGCCCAAGTTCTGGCAGCCCTTCTCTGGGCGAACAGCCGATCATCTCGGCCCAACGCACTGCCGGGCTCTCAATTTGCTCGGTCGCTACCTCGGCCCAACTCCAGATCATAAATCACCCTCTCATCACTAATACAACTCAAGAGTTAAAATATAATACATACGATTTCAGAGATGTGTTAGACAGAGTAAATAAAGTACTAACTCCGTTAAACACACCAACAATTCAAGATTTACAAAATGAAATTCGTAATCTTAAAATTGATATTCAAAATCTCCAATCTAGGGTATTAGCTTTGAAAGAAAATCCCGCCGATACAGATGATTTCCTGGCTGATATGACATTCCCTTATGAACCCCATCTCCAAGAATTATCCAATAAGAACCCTACAAAACAATCATTAGTTATTAATGATTCTGTCAATACTTCTAAATAGCATCACATATAAAAAATGGTATATAGAGATCAAAGTCGTTATACATGATTTCGTTTTGACCGATCCAAATATCAAACCCAACCAATACAATTATTATGATTACCAGCAAGCCTGGTTCTACGTTTTTTACTTCCAAAATTGATTCTTCCAACATTTATGGTGGATCCATTTTTGACCCAATTTTGAGATCACTATAGGAGAAATGCCCACCTGGTTTGAACCTTGGTGGCATCAATTTGGACTACAATTTGAAGCTTTATCGGAACCTCTCAAAGACTCTTACCATATTTATCGAAAGGAGGTTAATCCCCCTTATCCAGAATTTTTATATTTCACCATTGATTTTAAATTTCCATGGATCATAGCATGGCAGTATACTCTCTCCGTTGTTGTCAATACTACTTTCCTTGCTTGCCAGATCGCATCCAAATGGTGGAAAAATTATAAGATTCCATCAGAACAATATCCTGATCAGTTACTTTTATTCTATAAAAATTGCAAGAAAAAGTCCGCTGGTTTCTCATTTCAATATAAAGTATTGTTTGTTATGCTTTTAATTTCTAATTTGCGTCTTGAAACTAATGATAGTATTCTACATATTGTTGACTTACAAGAAGAATTAGCTAATCTACGATTACTCTTATCTCTTGCATCTGGTCAATCAATTATCAATTATTGTCAACGCATTGTTACAATTAAAAAGAAAATTAAAGATAAACAAACTAATTTAAAAGAACTTAGAAAATAATTACAATCTTTAATCTATATCTAATCTAGCACTAAGATTATAATACCCTACCCTGGGCCTCCTTAATGTAAATACTAAATTTAAAAGTTGTTCATCATTTTTAAATGTTCTAGAGAGGTTACAATTTAGATTTAGGAAAATGTTTGAGACCCTACGACTCCCATTGATATATTGACGATGTGTTTGAATTTTTTTTGGGGAGTTATGTCTGACAGTGACATGAATGGTTCAGATCATTTTGGAGGTTGTGGGGGTCTCTATCATTACTGTTAGATTTAATAATGATACATTAATTTTAAATTGTCAAATTTATATTTTGACTTTGGGTTTCTATATATATGTTTTTGAAAATTTCATGACCTAAAATAAAGGAAAACATTAACATATTGATTTTGGAACAAATGATATTGTGATATGTGTATTTTTGTATTTTATAAGTTAAAAAAGTATGAGAAAATTGGATCAATAGTTTGCAACTCAAAGACTATATAGTGTTTTGCAATTTTAGATAATATGTATAGTATAGATTGCAAAATTGATTTACTTTCCAAATTGAAGTAATTTGATGATTATTATTGTCACAACCCGCTTCTGGTATCTAAGGAGTAGGCATCGCCACCGGCCAGTAACCATTACCTAAGGCCATTTACAGAACAAATTTAATGACCAAGCGCACGCAAAAATAATTATTTAAATAATGATCCCAAAATGTACATAAGAGCTTCTATTTGTTTATAACAAAAAGATTATTCATCAAATAGGTTGATCTTTACAAATATTACAAAAGTGTACTGTGCATTTATTCTATAGTTCCATTTCCAAAATGAGCCATACACCTCTCTCTCTCTCTCTAATCGTTATTTTTTAAAAATTGGTAACAATTTATAAGCATATTGCAGAGTAAGGAATATTATAGCGAGAATATAAAGGATATAAAATAGAGATTTTTTTTTAAGATTCCTAATGTTAAGATTTTATAAGATAAAAGATATACAATATTTCATAGTAGTGGAGATCCCTCAACATTTTCATAAAAAAAATTTGACACAGTGAAAATTTGTCTCGACATAGAGAAATTTCATCCCCACACAAAGAAATTTATTTGATTTCACAGAGAAATTTTATCAAGGAGCCTTAGCTAATAAAAAAAACATATTAGACTTTTCTTACTACCCAAAGTTGGAAATAGATATTTCACTAATTTTTCATATAAAATCACCATATATAACTATTTATCGTACAAATTGGACCTCTAAAGAATGATATTAAAGTAAAATATGCCAATAATTTAAGAGGGCTATTTATAAACTTTTATAATTTATGCCCGTTTCACTTTCTTCTTTTATTTCCAAAATCACGGACCCAAACGGGCATGTGAAATAGCTTTCATCATGTTTGGTTCAAGAAAATTGAATTTACTTTTCAAAAAATTAAGTAATTTTTTAAAATATTTTACATAATATGTTTTTATTTTTTATTTTTTACATATGCCTAATATAAATATGCTTAAAAAATATAATGTTTGTGAATTTTTTTTTATCAGACACAAAAAAATATAAAAATTCAATATATTTTCATATTTTATTATATTCAATGATTTTTTAAAATATTTATATATAATTTTGTTTACTTTTTAATAAATTGAGATTAAAAAGATTTAAAAATAAAAAATTTGATTAAAATATTATAAAAATTAATTTAGAATATAAAAATACGTATTAAAAACTCGGAAAAGAAGTAAATCGTAAATGAAGAAGTGTGCTTCCCAGGTGTAGTGGAGTGTATACATTTTGGAACCCTTCCCCTTCTTGAATTCTGCTTCGTCGCCCCGGACACCGACGCAATGTCTTCCTCTAGCATTGCCATTCGGCTTCCTCTTTCTTCCTCCGCAGGTACAACCAGTACTCTCTCATCTCTATCTATGGTCTTTTTTTTGGTGACTGAATGAACAAAATGGGCACATAAGAAAGAAGAATATTTAAGGCGAATTCTCATTGATTGCCTAATACATTCCAGACAATAGCGCGACATTGATTTTTGAATTGCCATATATTCCTCCAATCCAACCCTCAAACTTGGATGTTTTCTGAGGAATCATTTGCTTACTCAACAAGTATCATATTTAAAAATGGTGTCTCTTCATTAATGGAAAGATCCATTGGCCTAGTTGTCACTTCCAAGCATCAATCTATTATGATTTTAATCAAGATAGACTCTTCCCATTGCCAATGCCTCGTGGTCGACTTACGAGGGAGGAGCCATTGTATCTTGGCGAGTCTAGATGTCATCTAAAGTTAATTGAATTTTAGAAAAATTGCACTTGAGGTGGAGAGTGACTATTTTAAGTGGTTTGTGATATACCATGTTGACCTTCAATTGGGTGTATCAGATTTTCCAGAGAAGTATCGTATACACCCTGGCCGGTCGTGTGTATGTCTTGCACATTCAATGTGCTTTGCTTCCTTGGAGGAAACGTTGAAGGGGATTCGTGTTTGGCCTTATACAATCCATCCATGCACGGAGACCATATTTCATGTTTGATGGTATTCTTGCAAAATCGTTAGTGTTGTCTCCATTTCCATGTTTTCATTTGTTTCCTTTCTAGTCTTCTCTTCCTTGTAGTTAAGAATGTTATTCTTTTCCTCTCTTGGTGAAGTAGTTTCGACAGTTGTAAGTTTATTTATGCCTATTGCAATGAAATGGTTTTAACATCAAAATAAGGATGTAATTCAAAATTTTGGCAAGGTGATGAGAAGTTGCATTTGCAAAGGCTTTGACCAATAAAGAACCTAAATTATCTTTACTATTGGTGGGTGCCAAAGTATTGATTAGTGCATGAATATATTGAGAAACATGTCTGGACAATAATCACAAAGAACAAATAATGTCTTTAATGAGCCTAAACATGTGGAAGACTTATAATAGGATTTAGGATGCTTTGTAATCCTCAATCCTGAGGAGTTTACCTTTGATAGTCTATTGGTCTTGTAATACTGTCTCCTTGGGGAGAGTATGCCGATGGTTTTATTTATTTGTGCATGGAAGCCTTTTTTTCATGCTTGATTCCTTTTTGAAGTTATTAGGGTTGTCTAGATTTGCTTTCTTTTGTTCGTTTTTTTGGTCAAGAAGATCATGTCATTTCCAGCTATTGTAATTTTAATTGTTCTAAATTGAAGCATGTTACGATGATATGGTTTAGCACATGTCCCTTGCTTTTTGTATTTCAGATATCTTTAAGTTTAACTTTTGTTCAAAATTTTGGTTTACTTTCAACTAAGTGAAGTAGTGGTAGTGAGCACATGGATTTCTGTTAGAAAATTATCCTTGCTCATGAAAGGAAATAATATTAAGTATTCAATAAGTGAATTGTTGTCTTAAATAAGTTAAACATGACTAAAGGCTGTTACAGGGTTGAGTGTGACTTCAATTTTGGTTATTTTATAATTTCCCTTGAACATTAGTTTGGTTTGTAGATTTAGTAAAATTTGCATTGGCAATTATTGGTTCTTTGTGATCTTGAGTAGTTGGTTTTTCGTTGCTTGTCAAACTATTAATGAATTCTTTAATGGTTTTTTTCAGACCTTTGATTTCTATTAATGAATGTCAAGGTTTAGTAAAAAAAAAGTCATATATTTGTTTATCCAATTGTTCAATATTTTAGCAACCATTCGTCTCTAATCACAAAGTAATCCTCCATCCTTTTTTTTCTCTTATTGTACTATAAAATTCATTATTATTGATATGAAATTTGGTTTTGATACTTTCATACCACCACAATTCACAACTTTTTTGTTTCTTGCAAGTATCGATATATTCCCTTTTGAAGAGTCTCACAATAAAACTGCAGAAATGACGACATTTCAACGTAAGATCTACTAGTATATGTTCATCGTGAATATTGTTTAAATTTCTGTTCTCGTTTTTGAGATATGACACTTTTAGTATCCATATCCTGCATACCTGAGGCAGCAAATCATTGATAGACTTTCCTTTTTATCTTTTTTATGTTTTCTAGCCTAAGAATCTCAGTCACACACTTCATTTGTACATTTGACAAAGCAACAAAATCTTCTCGTCAGTGCTTTTATTTTCCTATTCATGATAGCTGGAGCAACTGAATTTTCAAGCTGTGTGGGTGCTCAAAGCTCCTTTGTGCTCTCTTGGTGACAAATTTGCTCTACCTTGTTTGTTTTCCCCTATTTTTTTGGTTGCAAGGAAAAAGGAAACTCGAGTCCCTAACATCTAGGTTGACAAACCATCGGATTCCACTTGACCTATAAGGCCAGCGGTCTGCTGTAATCTATTTGAATCCCAATCTATGTACCTTTTCTCTCTCTTTTGTGATCTCTCTTTCCTTGCTATTTTGTTTTTCTCTCAAGAATATGGTTCTATTTTAAGATTTCAGATTGTTGGTTACAAATTTAAAATTGATTTTGTTCACTTCCTTTCAGTCTTTATTCTTTGTGACATGTCATATTTCAAACCGACCAAGTCAATTGGTTTGTTTATTTCTAGGTGGTTGTCAATGATGACATTATTAAAATTAATGTGTTTATACTTATAATACCTGAGGTTGATTGTCAACTGTTCTCTACATTTTTTTGCTCTGCTGTTACATCGAAGAATTGTGAGCCTATTCATATACACAAAATGGAGCGGAAAGTCATATAAAATCTAATTCCTCTTAAATCATGTTTTGATTTAATGGTTTATACTAGTGTCTAGTAAAACATAAAATATGAGTAGAATTGTATTAACATGAATAGTAATTGTTGTACTACCATTGTGAACCTAAAATGCAATTTCAACAACATTTTGAGCTTGTATTATTTTGTTGCGTTAAATTTGCAATTTGAGTCTTTTTTTTAGGGTCACTTTTGGTACCGTCCGAACTTAGTAAGTTTATTTTTAAGAGGTCATCATTTTTTATATTTTGAACTAACAGCTCGTCCCAATGTTTGAAACCATGCCTAAACAAGTATATAGTTAACTACATGTCTAGAATAGTATACTCAAACAACAATCATATGACAGTGAAAATAAAGTATAAAGTTCTTGTTAAGGAAAGAAAGTCAATCTATGATCATAACAAAGACATTAACTATGCAGGCATAAAATTATATATATATGAAGAAAGAAAGACATAAAATGAAAGAAGGAAAGAAGAAAAATTGAGAAATAAAATAAGAGAATTATATATAGAATGACAATATGCTATTTCACATCCCTAACCAATGACTAAGCCCCCAAGGCCATGTAGCAATATGTCAATGTAAACCTAGTAGTCATTCATTAGTTGCACAAGGTCACCTAATAGGAGTTTAGAAAGTCGTGGTTGTAGGAAATTTTAGGGCTTGTTTGGTTTGAGTTTTAGAGATGAGTTTTAGAAAAAAATTTCCAAAAAATTGTTTGGTTTGAGATTTTTCTCAAAAAATTTTCAAAATCACTTCTCTCTCTTACACATCAATCAATCACTTTTTCTCTTTCCTCTTTCCTCTTTCCTTCTCAATCACTTTTTCTCTCACACATCTACTCAATTTTTTCAAAATATCAAATCATCCCAAACTCCCACAAAATTTTTTTCTCTCAAAATATACAACCAAACAAACCAAAAAAATTTCTAAAACAACTCTCCCAAAAACAAACCAAACAAGCCCCTAATTTTTAAGAATTAATTTTTTTTGTTTTTTGTTTTTACTGGTAGTTAGGGTTCCTTTCTTGGGTTGCAATCTATGAAGTATGGACACTTCAAAATAGGTGCCGTAGTGGTGTCGGACACGGGAACACACCAAATGGTTTGTCCCATTAATTTAATTTAAATTTTTTTTTTTGGAGGGGACACGGAAGGGACATGTCGGGGACACAGCAGGGACACGGGGACACGGTTGGCACACACCAAATGGCATGTCCCTTTAATTTTATTTTTCATTTTTTTTTGTTGGGGACAGTCCGGGGACACCCGTGTTCAAATATGGATAATCTATTAATTTGTTTAAATATAGTGGCTTATATATATATATATATTGAATTAATGTTAGACACGGGAACACACCAAATGGTTTGTCCCATTAATTTAATTTAAATTTTTTTTTTTGGAGGGGACACGGAAGGGACATGTCGGGGACACAGCAGGGACACGGGGACACGGTTGGCACACACCAAATGGCATGTCCCTTTAATTTTATTTTTTATTTTTTTTTGTTGGGGACAGTCCGGGGACACCCGTGTTCAAATATGAATAATCTATTAATTTGTTTAAATATAGTGGCTTATATATATATATATTGAATTAATGTTAGTTTTTATTAGTTTTGATTGTTTGGTAATATAATATTAATCTACATAGAAAATGTATATAAAAATAAATTAAAAAAAATTGCAGTGTCCCTTGCTGTGTCCGTGTCTCCATTTTTTTGAAATCATCATGTCTCGTGCTTGTGTCCGTGTTTCATAAGTTGCAATCAAAGTTACGTATTTATTTAAAAAATACATCTTTTGCTAGATTTTGAGTCTTTTATGATTTGTATATTGGATGGGGCAATTTTTAGAAGTGTTTTTTTTTTTTGGGATGTCTTTAGAGATTTCTAATGTCTATAGAAAGTGCCTCTTGTTGTAACATGATTTTGGAGTTGTAATGAAAGTTTTTCCTTGTTAAAGAATGAATGTGGAATTCTTCTACTGACTTGAGTGTTAGAACTCAAGCAGCCCCTAGTAAGGTATTTTTCTCTTTCATTTTCCTATTTGCTGAATTTCTGTTCATTCAAATCTGTCAGACAGACTTTAATCATCACAATCCAAACTAATATCATGGAATCCATTACTTTATAGACGGTAGCCCTATTTTCCTCTTTTTAATATATACTAAGCTGTCCTTGTGTCACTCATTAAAGGAAGAGAAGGCATCCAACTTTGATGGTGGTGCTGTTGGATGGACTGCCAGCGTTAAGTGGCATAGGTATTGTTGTTATTGTTAATGGTAGTTGTAGACACCCCATTTTGTCCAACTCTAAGCCTTAGGCATTCCGGATGCTCCCCCATGATGAAAATGTTAATTTTCAATGCAATGGTGCTTTTGGATCACTAATGGGCCTGCTGGATTACCATTCGCTTGGCCAAAACCATATTTTGAAAATATTTTCAAAAGGAAACAGGCCATGCGTTTAATCAATGCCAAATTGTCGGTTTTCAAAGGAAAGTATGTTTTATAATTAAAAAAATATCAATTTGGAGTCAGTTGAATGCATAAAGTAAAAAAATACTCAAAATTCAGAACAAGAGACTGAAACATAGTGGGGCCCACTAGTCACCACATGCTGCTGCACATGCTTAGTCAAACCACAGGTCAGCAACTGCGGCTGCATTCACGGGATTGCGGCTCACAAAGGGACCTGCGGCCACAGATGCTTAATAGTGATCACAAATTTGATTCCTGCAAGATTTTGTTTCCCTTTCCAACTATGGAAGGGCAGCTAGTCGTGCGGCTATACATACACATGTTGGAGTTTCGACCTAATGTGTATTCTTGCCCCCAAGCCTTCTAAGGCTATACATAGCCCCTCTCTCACTTATTTTAAAAGAACAATAATTTTGAAAGAATCCCAAGTCATATTCTCACACACGTACCCTAACTGAAATTTCAACCCTATTCCAGCAGCCAAAACAGTGTTCTTAGGCTGCCAAAGGCAAAGGAAAAAGAGGATTGAGAACCATAACCTGAGGGGAGCATCCGTGGGCTCTCTTTTAGACTTTTTCTCGCATTTTCTTCAGTTTGATCATCAATCCAGTGGTAAATCTCCTCTTTATGCAGTGTTTTTACTTAATTCTACTATGTCATATGTTTTTTTATAATGGTTAACTAAAGCACATGCATTTTCCATGCCTTTAGAGTAGTTTTTAGGTTGTTTTTGCATTATCCTGTACCTTGCATGATTATTTAGGATTCATAACATATATATCATGCATAAAGGCCTGGATAGTTGATCATCCTTACATGTTCGTTGCTGTATTTATACTGTCTTAGTTGTTTTATATATATAAAAGACGTTTTTGATGCATATATGCCATGTTTAGATGATTACCGGACCTTTAGGTTCACATTATGAATTGTTGAATTAGTTTTGTATTTAGGATCACATGTACATGATAATACTAATCATGTTTTCATGGATTTAGTGCGGAGGAGTTATGTAAGTCATTCTCTCTGCTTTTGCATCCATTGTTTGTGGTTGCATTGCCTTTCCTTTAAAAGCATGCTTTATGTGCTATTTGTGATATATTTATGTTGTTTGCATGATTTAGAGTATATTTTCTTCCATACCCCTTTGAAACATACTTATTTTCAGAAACTTTTCATTCCTTTGTATAGCCTTCTAAATATGATTTTTGGAAAGAAAGATGAGAAAGTATGGAACATTCCAAAATAGATGATATACCTCTTTATTGTGAATCACATAGATGATAGGCTAGTTTAAGGGATTTAGGTGAAATAAATTGAGTTAGTGGAATTAAATAAGGAAATAAATATCGTACCTAAACTCCCGAACCAAGATTTTTGGTAGCGATGGACCAATGGCTTAAA